CTGCATTGCTCATTTTTGACCATCCAGCCTACTTTGCCCCTTAGCTCTTCCTCACAATCAAATCCAAGAGTATTGCTCCCCCACTCCAAAAACCCTCCTCTAATGCATTTACATGAGAAATAAGCCCCATTACAGATTAGACACAATTGCTGCCCCATACTGGATAAAGGGATGGATTTTACTGGTGGTTCCGCTATAAAAAAAGAACCAGGAGCATTTTTATGTCTTTCAGTTCATATACAGTGCCTGATGCAGAACAGGAGATGGGCAGTTCTAAAGCTGGCAGCCAGCCTTAAATAGCCAACATTTGTGGGCATGGAGGAGCTGCCATTCTTCCCTTGTGAAAGGGGCTGCGTACAGATTGCATGGAGGAGATATGCAGACATTCTTCCGAGCTTAAGGTGCGCAAATTCCACAAAGTCAAGTGATTCAAAAGAAATTTGGCATCTGGGGTTGAGGGGGGGCGGGGGATTGTCCATCAGCAGCAGAACAAAGTGAGAGAACAAGAGGTTACTGCAAAGCCACTGCAGCCTGTGTGGAGTTTGCCAGGGAACCAAGACGACACTGCTGGAAAGAAAACTTACAGCTTGGCAGCTGGAGCCTGTGATTACCCATCCTAAAAGGGAGAGGAGGAAGATGGCACATCAACAACACCCCAGCAATTTGCTGCAGGACAATAGGGCTTTAAAAGCAGAAAGAAAAGTCTTTAAGAAATATTTCTGCTTGGAGAAAAATGGGCGATGGGAAGGTGTGGGGGGGGGCGGCGGAGGGTATCAATAAACCATTTGAGAATTTACAGATTTTTATACTCGTTTAAATTAGGTATGTCCAGTGACAGTAATGCAGGACAGTGGCTGATTTGAAGCTGATCATTTATCCCCTCCCTCAAGCAACAGTTTGATTTGGGCTTTACTGTGGGGTTTGTAAAGCAGCTGGAAGCAGAGGATTGTGGTGTCTATAACATTCTTTTTCACGTGTACTCTTCTTGCTGCTAAATGACTCGGGTCCTTAGGAGCGGTGGGTGTAAAATAACATGGCATTGCTGTTTGCAGAACTGCCCAATTCAGTTTGGAGGTGCGCTTCTCGTGTGTATATGTCTAACACATACCATGCAGCAGTGTGGGATACATACTGTAACAGCGCCAGTGCGTGCGCCTGCAATAAACCTGTAATTTCAACACTAAAACATGTAGACTGTACAGGGGTGTGTCTGTGTGTGTGTGTGTGTGTGTGTGTGTGTGTCAGTCTGTCCAGGGGGCAGATGACAGAGGGTGCGCTGATAGAAGTAATTTTAAATATTTTAGAAACCTAAAGTTGCAGGTTTCATTTGAGTGTAAAAAGCACGCTAACAATACTTCCAAATATTTTAAACACCAAATCCAGTCTGTTTACGCCAATGAAAGATTTGCTTAGCTCCTTCTGGAAATATCTGCCCAGATGGGCACCGTGCAAAGACCATAGTGATGGGGCGAATATAATGAATGCAGAGTAAGCTCTGAGTTACCCCGTGTGTATTGATTTCACTGGGTCTGCACGGATCCAGGGAGGCGACTTTCTCGTAGTTCATAGACCGACTGAGGCCGTTGCTCTGAGGGGATGTGTGGTAGGAAAGGAGGCTGCGGTCTGCTGAACAATACCAGCGCGCTGGCAAAGTTCCTGTACTGGCTGCTCCATCAATGTGCCATTGATGGTACCAAACGTGCATTAGAAAGACACCAACGTCATCTGGAAAGCTTCGTTTTCATTTAGAAAGTGCTTGAGAACCTTGGTTGGTTCACTCAGGGAAGGCTGGGGATGACTTCGTGTGTGTGTGTGTGTGTGTGTTACAAATCCTGGCAGCATTGGTCTCATACAAGATTTAAGACTATCAAACAAACAATATCTATGCAAAGCAAAGGGGAAAGAGATTTAGTTGCCTTCACAGACCTGGATAAGACTTCATTCTCTTACTGCTTGCACTCTTCCTGGGCTACTTTTTTTAAAATTATTTTGTTGTTGTTGTTGTTTGTTGTAATTACAATGATCCACAAGTTCTGCTCTGACAGGAATGACGAGAACGCAGCTTCATGTCTCACTTCTGCTAAATGCAACTTCGTTTGTTTTAAGCCCGTGTAAATTTGTTTATAAAATTGAGCGGTGCCCCTTTGTAACAAATTATTAACCTTCCTCTTCCGAGCATTTCATCATCACAGCTGTTAGTTTGGAGATGATGCCCAAACATCCCAGGGGCACTTTTGATAGCTGCTTGGGCGGGGATTGAGCGTTGAGGTCGGATACACACACACACACACAAAACCGAGCTTGCTAAATAGTTTCTCCCTCATAACTCTGTTATGCGTTACACAATAAACGGCAAGGCCATTTGCATATATAGTGCTTGGCTATGTGTTTGTATACGGCATGTGTAATATAGTGCATGACAATAGACTGTGGAGTTATACCTTGCTCAGATTTTAGTTCTCATAAATATTTTGTGAAGGAAAACATTTCTTTGGCCGAAAATGCGGTTGTTTACTTGCATGTAATTAGGGACCAAATAGGTTGTAAATGCATTTGTGCGTTGTTTTGAGAACAGTTTCTTCTATAAATGCCTGTGTGACTCTCTCTCTCTCTCTCTCACTCTCTTATATATATATATA